GGAGGCAGCCGCTGCGAGGATTATCCGTCTTCTCCCCATTCCGCTGCCTCGGCTGCCAGGCCTCTGGCTGCTGAGGAGAAGCAGGCCCAGTCGCTGCAACCATCCAGCAGCCGCCGCAGCAGCCATTACCCGGCTGCGGTCCAGGGCCAAGCGGCAGCAGAGCGAGGGGCATCAGCGACCGCCAAGTCCAGAGCCATTTCCATCCTGCAGAAGAAGCCTCGCCACCAGCAGCTTCTGCCATCTCTCTCCTCCTTTTTCTTCAGCCACAGGCTCCCAGACATGACAGCCATCATCAAAGAGATCGTTAGCAGAAACAAAAGGAGATATCAAGAGGATGGATTCGACTTAGACTTGACCTGTATCCATTTCTGCGGCTGTTCCTCTTTGCTTTTCTGTCATTCTGATAACGTTGGAGTAGACGGATGTGAAAAATTTCCGTAGTTGGGGGTGACTATAACGTTTAATCCTGGTCTCATTTTTAGATCGTGTATTTTCTGTCTCTTGCAGGGTGTTCAACCTAGGGAGTGTTCAGCTAGACGGAACTCATGCCTGCTTGCAAGTGTCAAGGCACGGGTTGGTTTCTTGTCTAGCTCCGAGGTCTCTTCTTAAAATCTATTGTCCGTGAATGCAGAGTACTGTACATTGGATTAACGAGCTCGTTAATCCAAGCCTAAATGAACCAAAAAAACAGACGCTGTGAGGTTGTGCATATTTCGATTAGATCATGACTTAGGCCCTAGATGTAGGGTGTAGATCAGATTAAAATGAAAGTCCGTGCCGCACGTAGGCATATTGCCTCAGAATCTTGCAGTGATTGCTAGTTTCCTGGGTTGCGTTGATAGATTTTTCTAAAATGTGACTTGTGAACTGATTTGCATAACTTTATAGGCTTAGCCACCCTCAGCATAGATGGTGCACATTTGAGGGTAAGAGCAGGTTTGTGTGTTTAAGCTGAAGTAATTACGACTTTGGAGCTAGACCGAGAAGTTTTGTAGTTTGCGATCAACAGTGTCAGAATATGTGTTATTGGACCTTTTAATAGAACCTTGTTAAATTAGACTTTGTTTCCTGATGAGATGTGGGATGGGGCCCGAGATTTGTGTTTCAGTGGTATTTAGCATTCATTTTGCTTTGCCGTACGTGATAGGCTAGAGATGGAACAGTTTTTGATCCCAGATGATGATGCCCGTGTGAGCTCAAGGATATTGTATGTGGCAAATGATTGCAGAGGTTAAAGCTCGGCTCTCGCATGAAATTTAAGTATCACTGTGAGCTAGAATTTGCTGTTGATGTCTTTTAAGGTTCAGGTGCTTTGACCCGTTGACTGCCCATGGGTTTTACCCCGATTTGTATAGAATGTCAGTGTAACTGTAACCAGCTACTACCCAGAGATACTAGCAAAAGTGGCTCACTGGCTTCAGACTGTCGGTAGGCTAGCTTTTTAAATGCAGCAAATTACTGAGTCAGCTCGTTGAATAAGACAGAAACCCAAGAATTTTTTAACGGTGTATAGTTCTGATTGTCTAAAAGTTAGTCCTTTGTACTTCAGAAGTTCGCGGTTATCTTAAAGCATTGATCTTTGCAGTTTCAGGTATGGTACTGGTTTTGATCAGGCATAGGAAGAGAGCCCTCCTTTTTTGGAGGAAGTATTGACAGATACTGAGAGCTTTTGGGAGGCCGGTGTGTCAGGTGTGTGAAAAAAGTTGCTTGTCTGAAGTGACAGGCTTGAAGATCTATTAAGCCTTTTGTTAACAACCCCCAATTTTTCTCCAAGAGACTTGTAACAATGAACAATATTTAGTTAAAATTAAGTAATTGTGTAATTGTTAATAATGTATTCTTGGTAAAAGTTATTTCTTAGTAAATATCAGTAGACATTTTCTTAAGGCAGAAGGGCAGCAACTTGCCTATACATGTCCTGCTAATAATTAGAGCATTACGGAGAGGACTTTTTTTTTAATTAAATAAAATGTTTTCATTTGGAAGAGGTTCGACTTTTTTTTTTAATTGCATTAGCGGCATATAAACATGCATAGCTAATTTTGGTCGAGTTTTGTTCTGAAATGAAGATGGAACTCACTGAAGAACTAACTGGTTTCAGAAACAGGCTAATTTTCTGTTAAAAATACACTTTGAGAGGAATCTTTAATTTTCGAGTTTGCATTAATTGATAAAGCTTTACTCAGGATGAACTTGACCTTTTCTGAAGGTAATTGGAAAAAATTCTGAGATATTATTTGCTTCAAGGCATTTTACTGTTGGTGAGAATTAATGTTAGTAATCTAGATATAGGAGGAATTAGTCAGATATCTATTTAATTAAAAAAAATAGACCCTCATTCAAAGAAAAATCTGGAAAGCCTGGTAGTCGAGCTTCTCTTAGCTTCCACAGTAGACTTATGCTTTTCCCACTTGATTTAAAATTGTCGGGGGTATTGGACCTCAAGATTGTTGTGCCAAATTTTTACGTATGAGCAGTGACATGATTGCAGTTCCTTATTTGATTTCATAATACGTGGGCTTCTGCGCATGCAATTTATGTGACTTAAAAGTCTAAAACTGTATTTTTAGTTATGTATGCATGGAAAGCAGTATCAAATAGTGCATCAAATGGTTAATTTAAACACTTAATTTCTAGAGCTGTGGTTTTATTGAGCCAAATGTTAATACGAAAAAGAGTCAGGAGGGGGAAAGTTGGTGAAGGCCTTGCTCTTCTGAGAGTTGTTCTTCCAATAATTTTGATAAGCCAGAGGGCTTGCTTGATTCCTTATCAGTGTGTTCTGTTTGGGGGCAGGAATTAAAATGCTCTTTGAAGACTACTGCTGGTCAGTGTTGTCACTGAAGCTGGCCAAATTAAATTTCATTATGAAAGTAGTAAGTAGGATATTTTTATTTGCTGAGGGTTAACAGTGATGTACTTTCAGAAAAGTCAAGGAAAATTGAGTTTTAAAATCTTTTGCAAAATTGTATTGTAAGAATTCGTTGGTTGGATTTTATTCTTAGCAGTCTGGAAAACAGACTCAGTGTGAGATTGTGAGGTTTTGTGTCTTTGAAGCACACGCAGAGCCCAGCCTTCTGTGACAGTTTGTGTGATAGGTGTGCTTCCTTTCAAACACCAGCCCCGCCTGGGACAGTAGAACCTTGCAGTGATTGCTAATGTTAGCTGTTTGTCACAAGCGAGTAATTGTTGAAAGTAATTCTAGTTTTTTTTTTTAAAGATTGTGCAATCTTTAAAAAAAATTTTAATCTTGGCCTTTTTTGTAGTCATCTGTTTCTTTCCTGAAAAACATGACTATGTAATTGCTGTATAATAGGTTGAAAATTTAATTTTCCCTAAAACTTACTTAAGAATAAAATGCGTCAAAACGAGTAATTTTCAGTTATATATAATTCAATATAAGGAAAAGCAATTTCATTACTGTCAGTTGTAAAAGTTGACACAGTATAATGATGCAGGCTAAGATTGCTTTTAAAGTATTAATTAAAGATTAAATAATTCAAGTTAAATATGACATTACCATGTTCATTTTATACTTGGTTTTAGAAAGTGGAGATTCATTGCCTTTAAAATTTTTATTTTAGTAACAGAAGAAAGACAGTGTATTCTAATTTTTGTGTGGAACATATGTCTAATTTCTCATAATTATGTAAAATATATAAGTATTACGAACTAGCTTACCTTCTGGAAATGAATTCAATTCCTTCAACTTTAACAAATGTTACAACTTGAGATTTGTCTTCGTGTGCTGTTCTTTCGTTTGTTTGTAGCTTAACAGTATTAACAATTTTTAAGCCGCTTCTAAAATAGTCACTTTGATGACTTGATTAGAAAATTATTCATGCCGGAAAGAACAAAGTTTGAATATTCTTTTCAGTCAATACTCAATTTTCAATATTTTGTGTCTTAGTCTTTTTAGTAAGCCCAAAATATAGACGGTGTTTTCATATTGATAATGTATTTGAATTGATAGTTGGCAAAGGTAAACTTAGAAGCCTGTGTACATGGGACAGATTTTCATTTCCATGAAATGTTAGACTATTCCATCTTAGAAGTATTTAGTTCCAGAAGACAGTACTAGTTACTAGTACAGCTTAAGAAATTTATTGGATAGTGTTTTTTTCTTTTTCCGTAGAAACTACTAGCTCATAAAAGAGAAGTTTTACTGCACAGAGCTGGTGACTCTTGAGTTTTGTTCCCTTTTTTTTCACCCTGTAGATAAACTTGATTTGCAGAATTGGCTTTGTGATCTACATTTAAGAAAAGTTACAAGAATTTGTTCTAAAGATCATGATTTAGGTCATTTGTATGATTTTATCAGAAATGATTTCTGTAAATATTCATTACTTTTTGTAGTTGCTTCATGCGTGGCAGATTTGAGATTGATGCAGTTGCTCCTGGAGATATCGCCGATATTGAGGATAGAAGAAATAGCGTTTACTCATCCTTTTTATAGGTCATGCAACTGTTACATGACTTTCTTGGTTAGGTGCTTAAAGGTGTTTTGATATGGGTATAATTTATTGGTTCTCTTTGTATTGATATATTGGGAAAGATGAAATTAAGATATTGGGTTTGTTGCTTCACCTTCTAGTTTTGTATTTTCTTCCTTGGTTGCAGAAGGGGCGCTAGCAGTTTCATCTTTTAAAATGAATTGTACTGGAACAAAATGACTATTTCTTAAGGGAATGTTATCATAGTAAACGTGATTTAGAAATGAATTGATTTTGGCAGTGAAGTTTCAGTTTTGTTCAGAATAGCACACTCTTCCATTGCAACGGTTGGCATTAGGACATTTGTAGATGTCTTTGCAGTATTAGACTTGTACATATTGGTTGTGTTGAAACTTTGGAAAGATGGCATTGCAGTTGAATACCTTTTGCTAGCAAAGAGTCTTCTTTACCTGTGTGTGTATGGTGTGGAAAAGACTGTAAATATGCTATGTTTTGTGTAATTAGTTATATAGTTATAATCAGAAACCAACCTTTTACATATGAACAGTGATTTTAACTATAAATATTTGAATTTTCTGTGTGTATAATATGTATTATTATTATTCTAGAAAATGTATTTTCTCCTTATAGAATAGATTGCTTTGGAGTTTATTTTAAAACATGATTGAGTCTTTTTGGAGGTAATTTTAGAACATGATTGATTGAGTCTCTTAAATTACATTAAAATACAGCAGGTTTTGTCTACACTCTGAAGTTATACATTGTTTCATCTTAGTTTTAGGCAGACAGGGTGGGCTGGGGCCGCTGTCTGTGCTGTGATAGTGACTCTGTCAGTTAGTAACTGGATGTCTCTATGCTATTTAATTCCCTAGTCTTATTTTACCTGAAATAAGGGTAGGATAATAGTACCCACCACAAAAGTTAATCTTCATTAAATGATGGAAATATCTGGACATAGTGACTCATTCCAGTGAGGTGGAGGCAGGAGGATTTTTGGTAAGTCTTAGTGCAGCTGGATGGACTGCATAGGGTGTCTGAGGCCGTCTTGTACATAGTGCATGCCAAGCCAGTCGGGTCCGTAGTGAGACCCTGTCTGATACCATGCAGTGCCTTACTATGGTGTCTACCGCATGGGAAAGACTTCTGTCACAGCTGCTACTCTTAACAATTTCCCAGATGTCAGAAAATTTTGCATTTTCATTTCTAGGATGAGCAGTGTTTATGAATTTGCTCAGTTTGAGGCCTGTTGCAATTTTAATTGATTCAAGATTTTTTTTTTTAAATGGAGGATTCCTTTAGGAGTTTAATTTACTGTTTCCTCCTGGAGTTGCTCAAAATGAAGTTTATCAAGCTCATCAGAAAATGTTTGCTTTCAGCTTTTACGGGAAGGTGAAAATTTGCTTTTAGTTTAGCACAATGAATTTAAAACTCTTATCTGTTGTAAGATTAAATTTTCTTTTTTAATATTTGTTTTTAATTGAGCTATACAATTTTCCCACTTGCTTTCCTCTCTCCCCCTTTCCCTTCTACCCTCTCCCCTAAATTTTCTTTTAGTACTCCATAGATGATTGAAATATTTAACATCTGTAACATAGTATGTGTGTTTATATAGCATATCTATGATGCAGATATGATATATTTGCTCTTTTGAATCAGGTTCTCACCATATAGCTCTGATTTGTCTGGAATTCATGGCTATTCTTGTTTAGTATCATAGTTATTTTTTTTACAAAGAATAATCCTCACCACTAGTGAATAGAACTTCTAATGTATAACTCAGAGTTAGGTAAACTCTTTATCAGTAAAGGTATATTAGCATTTCCTTTTCAGTTCAGCTTTATGGGGTACTTATGTAGCCCTGCCAATTTACATTCATTACAACAGACATACTCAATATAATGTGCAGTGAATTAGTGTAAGAATTTAAAGTTAGTGTTAATCCTGTAATGTTGCCCCCTTTTTCATGTTTGGCCACGATTTTCCACATAAGTAGAACTTTGAAATAGGAAGAAAAGCTAAAGGGATTTTTTTTCTTCATGTACTCTAGTTTTTAAAAATCACATTAATTTATTTGGGGTTGGGATAGGAGGAATGAAATGGGGCATGTATGTACCAGGGTCTAAGTGTGGAGGCAGAGAACTATCCAGGTGGTTCTCTACTTCTTTATTGGCACTGGGAATGGCAGTCAGGTTGTTATGCTTACAGGAAGCGCCTTTGCCCTACTGAGCCATCGTAGAAGTTTACATGCTGTTTTCTTATCAAGGAGAGGGAAGTAAGCTTAAGGTCTGCCTGCCTGCCTGCCTGCCTGCCTGCCTGCCTGTGACAGAGAATGTTACTTCTTTGCTTTTCAGATGTTTAGTATCCTCAGTAGAGCACATTCATTTCCAGAAGAATGGCGTGGATGCTGCTGGAACCATTTCAGGACTGTGTTCTTATGAACTCCACCCCCCATTTTTGTAACTTAGCTATATTTTTGGTGTAACACAAGTTGTAAAATTGAGTTGCATATCTTCATGTCTGACTTTGCTACACTGTCTTTTGTGTCCCTGTCCTATGGCACGTGTGTAGGCGCTGTGCCACTAGAGCTCTGCAGAGTAACTGACTGACTTTGCTTTCAGACTGAAGTAGAATAGTTTCTTTTTTCTTTCTTTTTTTTTTATTAGTGATTGCAGAACTAATTTTGTTTACTTTAGAGTCTTTGAATAGGCTGTAATTACCCAAGGTATGTAATTCTGTTTTGAATCAGCTATCTTTAAAAGAGATGTATTCCTAAAAGTGATTCATAAAATCAATATACATGTTTAAAGTTGGAAGCAAATTTTTGTTTTGATTTTTTTTCATTAACTTTTTTTTCTTTAATGAGACTTGTTTTTGAGTATTTGTGTTCCTCTAAACTAGAGGTTAAATAGAATTTAAGTTTTTCTTTTACTCTTAGATTGAAGTTTTGGGAGATATTATTAAGGTTGTCTCTAGGTCTCTGTATTACATTATCTTCCATCAAACAAACCTTACTTGAAGTATTATACTTTATGTATATGAGGGTGTGTAGGCTAGCAGTCAACGTGGGTGCCTTCCTCTTTTGCTCTCTGCCTTATCTTTTGAGACAGGATTTTTCTTTGAGCCTGGACTTCACCTATTTGGCTAGACTGGCTGTCTTCAATCTCTACCTTCCAGTGCTGGCTTACAGATGTGCACCACCATCCAGGGCACATTGGTGCTGGGGACCTGCCCTCAGATCATTGTGGTTGTATAGTAAGTGTTTGCTTTATTTATGGAACCAATTTCTCAGCCTCCATGGGATACTCATTTGAACTGATAATATTTATAGGTGTATTTTATCAATAGACATAAGTCCTAAATAGCCGGACAATGGAAATATGCTGATTTTGTAGACAAGGCTCAGTGAATTAGAAAGACAGCCTGCTGGAATGCAAAAGAATAGAGCTTGGAATTAGCCAGACCCCCAAATGCAGCCTAAATTCCTGTCCTGGTTTCCATCTTTCTAATATAAGGTGAAACCGTGATTTGTACGTATTTGTTTTCGTTAGAAGTATGTGGTATTTTCAGAGTATAGTGTGCTTACTCAGGAGGATCCCCTCCTACTTCATCTGGAACTTTTGCTAGTGTCTGGAGATATTTTGGTGGACGTGGTCATAACTGAGGTGGCAGAAGACTTGATTGCATTTAGACATCTGCAGTACGTGGGATCTGGTAAATGCTAGATGAAGTGTCTGATATGCCTTAGATTGTGGATCCAAGAAGGTCAAGTTGTTACTAGATGGGCCTAACTAGGTTTTCTGACTGTTGTGGGGCTTATGTTTCTTGATAAGAACTTTGTCCACTAAAGATTTCACTAATAAGGAAACGATTTATTTGATGAGGTCTCATGTCTTTTGGCATTGTGAGATTTTGGACCTGTTAGAAAAGTTAATCTTGCTGCTATTGAATCCTGTGTGTATGCTGTTGAGAAGGCTGCCACAGGCAGTACAGGAGGAGATGGATTTAAAAGAAAGCAGGTAAAGTCGGATGTGTGACTCAAGCCTGCAATTCTAGCACTCTTGAAGCTGAGGCAGGAGGATTGTTTTGTGTTTGAGGATAGCCTGGGCAACCTTGTACTGCTATACTTTGAGTTTTACAGTCAGACCCTAAAAAAGGATTGTTTTGTTTCATGTGTGAACAATTTTCTCTATAATCGTTTAGGGAGTTAGTTTGTTGCTAGTATCTTTAATGTTACTATTGTTTAACATTTTTTAAGTCTTAGACTTTTACTCTAACTCTTTATTTCTTCAGATCGGATGAAGTTAAATATGCTGATGTGAAATGGAAATTTCTAACAAGTAATAACAGAAACAGTTACATTTTTCCGGATGAGGAGGACTGGGCTACTTGACTGCAATATTGGATGCTTGTTCTTTTCTGAGCCTTCCATTTGTTGCCAGCTTGGTTGAATTAAACTGTTTTACTTCCCTAAAATAAAAATTGAAACCGCTGTGAAGTTTTTCTGATTTGGGGGTGCGAGTTTCAATTAGTCCAGAGATGCAAAAAACCAAGGGAGTAAAAACGACATTGGAGTTCTTGTTTTATTTTTAGGGATCACAAACATAATTATAAGTGTTCTAGGAATAGATTAGTTGCTAAAAATTTTTTTGTTTAATTTTACAATTTCATTTTACACTCACTTTACACAGAATAAAATGTCAAGACCTTATTTTCTAAATTCATAGGAAGTTTAAGTACTGATTTAGAATTTTAGTTCTTGAAGTTAAAGGGAGATGTTTAGATATACTAATAAATATTGTAAAGCCAGTATGACTTATTACAGTAGCCTCAGCTACTTCAGCAAGAAAAGCAAATGGTCTTCATTGCTTTAATCCAGCTGGATAAATTGTAATGATTAAGTCTATGAGTTAAAACTCATTTGCTTAATAAAGAAAGTTCTTTTTATAAAAAGATTACTAAGAGAAAAAAAGCTAGCTTTTTAGTTTTTCGAGACAGGGTTTCTCTGTAGCCTTGGAGCCTGTCCTAACTAGCACTTGTAGGCCAGGCTGTCCTCGAACTCAGAGGTCTGTCTGCCTCTGCCTCCCAGAATGCTGAGATTAAAGGCGTGTGCCACCATCGCCCGACAAAATCACCTTTTAAAAAGCTTTGTAACTTCACATTGCTTTCTAATTCATGATGAACGTAAAGAAATGTCTTTTCTTTTTGAACAATTTGCATAGTGCTTCATAATGAAAATTGTCAGAAATATTTCTTTACCTATACATTAAGATTTCTCCATTTTTTTCTCTTGGAGTGGACTTACAGTGACAAATGGGGACAATTTTTATGATTCAGATTTAACAACAACAACAAAAAAAACAGCCGGGCGGTGGTGGCACACGCCTTTAATCCCAGAACTCGGGAGGCAGAGGCAGGCAGATCTCTGTGAGTTCGAGGCCAGCCTGGTCTACAAGAGCTAATTCCAGGACAGGCTCCAAAGCTACAGAGAAACCTTGTCTCAAAAAAAAAAGTACTAGAGCCTTGAAATGTCTCCACCCAAAATTACTTCTAGGAAATCTATTACACGTTTAATACTTAATGTTTATATTACTTAACAAAGACAACAGATTATATATGTATATAATATGTTATATATAATGCATATGATTTTATACACACACACACATATGAGAGACAGTTTCAGATTCTCTAGCCCATTACTATTCCAGGACCAAAATACTTTTAATAGGTTAATTTCATTTACTTTGGAGTATTTTTGCTGTGTTAAAATTGAAGTAGAACAGAAGCAATTTGAATAAACTATTTTCACACTGAAATGGGCATAGCTCTGTTGGTGTCCTTTTTGAATCCAGGATTATTGGCTTGCCATGATGCTACTGTTTTGTATTTTGAATGATGTGGTTTATGTTTGCATGGTTGCCCACATTATTGTTATACTGTTAACTGATCAAAGTTTTCTGTGCACTTGCACTAGCAAGCACTATTTATAGTGAAAGTGAGCTTGGCACTTTTGTCAGTTGTGTGACATTATTCTTAAGTCAGACACTAAAAGAAAACCTTTATCCTAAAGCTAATTGATAATTCTTTATCATTGAACTATACTAATATTTTTGAACATAATATTTAAAACAAAGTGATACAAACACAGTTGTCTTATTTTTATAAACAAAGTTACTATCAGGTGTGCCTGTATGGCCTGGATTCTTAGCACCTGGGAGTTGTCTTCAGGGAAATCAGACCTTCAGAGTCGTCCTTGGCTGTATAGTACGTTGAAGCCTAGCCTAGGCCACAGGAGACCCCGTCTTAGAAAACTTAAAAAACCAAGTTAAATCAAAAAACAAAATTACTTGCTTATTATTAAGTACATTTTTCCCCCCAAATAAAATGAAGCTTAACTGAGATTTTCATCTAGGCATGATGTTTGCTGTCTTAGGTTCTTCTAGTAAAACTTAGTGATGGCAAAAAATATTTCTTTAGCGTTTTCATGTTGCCCTTTTGAGGGTGGCAGACACAGTCCAGTGTCTCGAGCAGTTTCTATGGACTAGTTTATCGGAAATTTGCATGAAATAACAGTGTATTAAGCAGTGAGATGCTTTCTTTATCTAGATTATATTCCAGATTGTGATCACAATTGTGTGTTTGAAAAATATATGAAGGTCCTTACTAAGGGTGTTTCCATTTCACTCCTGAGAAGGTCACAGGTGGGTTTTGCTGTGTGGTGTCTAGGAGCCCTGGCCTGCCACCTGTTCTTTAACTGTAGGAAAAGTTAAGATAATTTAGTGATAGTGTTTTTGGAATCATCTAATAGTTTTTAAGAGCTAAGGTTGTTTTAGGCCTAAGATCTGCTATCATTTGTACTTCGTTCGTAAGCCACCCAGGGGCTGCCAATGCTGCTGCTGCAAGCCTGGAGTGTTTGGATGCTTCAGTAGAAGTGTTGTGTTTTCACTTGAAATAACAAATTACACGATATGTTGAGGTTTCCAAGCTAGGTTTTTAACAAGTTGCATAAGAAATGATAATATGAAACTTAGGAAGGGTACTGATTTAATAAGCAGCTTTAAACATTTGCTTCAAGTATTTTTTCAAGTCTTGTGCTCTTTTTCCTCTCACAACTTTATTCTGATCTGTATATAAAAGAACTAGCTCATTTAAACATTTTCTCCTGCATCTTAAGCTACTTAAGAAGTTTCTAATTTAAATGTTTCATCCCTATGAACTAACTTGATGTTAGTTATGCTGTATAGAAATCTTTAAAATAGCTTCATAGAATCTGATGAATTTTTGTTTTTATTTTTGTTTTGTTTTCAATTTTTTTGGTTTCTGGTTTTTCTTTTTTTCTTTCTTTCTTCTTTTTTTTTTTTTTGAGACAGAGTTTCTCTGTGTATTTCTGATTCTCCTGTAACTCACTCTGTAGACCAAGCTGGCCTCAAATTCACAGAGATCTGCATGCTTCTTGCCTTCTTAAGTACTGGAATTAAAGGTGTGCATCGCCACTGCCCAGCTGGTTTTGGTGGTTCAAGACAAAGTCTCACTATGTATCTTTGGTTGTCCTGAAACTCACTCTGACCAGGCTGGCCTCAAACTCAGAGATCACGTGCCTGTCTCCCAAGTGCTAGAATTAAAGACTTGTGCCACCACCCCCAGGCTTAGCTTTTTTAAAAAAAATTATATTAATTTACCATTATTTTCTTGAATAGTTTTTTTTTATGTGCCAAATGGTTAGTAGAATAAAAAAGTAATGATTTAAGTTTTGATAACTGAATCTGTACTCTCAAACCCAATTTTGCCTGGGGCCTGTACTTTAGCCTCTCCAGGTTAATGTCTGTGAGGGAGAAGATTCTGTTAGTATAGTTTTGGGACATTGACTGGCATGACTCTTCTTTAGGTCAGGACTGAATTACAGGCCATGAAACCTCGGGCTTTTTGCATTGGAAGCCAGTGTGTATGCAAATGATCCTTCTTACCTTGTTAAATCAGTTTTTACCCAAATCCTGAAAGTTTAAAAATAATTACCTATTCTGCTTATTTAGTGTTTGGATAATGTGGAGTCTTAAAAGGGTTCCTCTCTCATTATTTTTATTTATGTTCCTTCCATTTAATTGATATTTTTGTCTTCTTGTGTACTGAACTTTATATCTCCCTCTTTTCCTTTCTGTTAGGGCCTCATTGTGTAGTCTCAGTTGGCCTGAAACCCCTCCTGCCTCTGCCTCTTGCTCCACTTCACCGCAGCCAAACTTTGTGTGTCGCACCACATATTTATCAGTTGGAAAGGTTGGCTTTCTTCAGTTTTTTTCTTCAAAATTTTAGCCTAAGTACTTTCTACATTTTTAAAATGTGTTCTTTGAACATGAAGATGACTAACTACAGAGGTGCTTTCTCTCTCAGTGGCAGGAGTTATTTTCTTACAAAAACTGTACTCCTTTAGTATCTTACTAAAAGTAAGGCATTTGTTTATTTAAACATGCAGCAAAGACTTGTTCTTACTTTCAATCATCAATACAGTTAAAACGTCATATAAAAATTTCATACTCTAAAATGAATTTTGACTAGCATTTTTGTATATAATTTCAGAGTTTGGGAAATCATTTATAACTCACAGATATAAAGTTGATTATAATGGTTAAAATACTTTCAGTGAGAAAGGAATCCTTTCACAGTGTTAAAACAAGGTGTTTTAAATTCATTAATATGATTTTCTACTAGAGTTATGAGTGACAGTATATATGTCTGCGTGATTTAAAATTTACATATTACTTCTGGTTCGTGTTCTTTTTCTTCAGTTCAAAACAATCTGTTGGGGGCAGACTGACTCAGATCACTTGGAAAAGAAACTAAGTCATTTCCCGATGACTCTAGGCTGGAAGTATAGGGTAAAAACTTGATTTATTTCACATATTACATTAAAGCCGTATGTAAAGTGAACTAATCCAGTCTACACATTTGGAGTTTTTTCTGTTTTAAATAGTCTCAAAGACTTTACTTTGAAGGGCAAATTATGATTTGTTGAAAACAAGTGTAAAAATTTTGCAATTTTGGCTAAACTAGTAGAGAAAGATCCATTGTTGGGGACATTTGTATTAGAACCTGTGAAGTGGGTTCTGCAACTCTAAGCTCTTCGGAACCTGCAAAATCAGTATAGGTACAGGTGAATGCTTTGGAATGTTTTGTTTTTTCACAACACAGTTACTACTAAGTGAATTGACACCAAGTATGACAGGGTGTTTTCAAATTACTGGGACATCCCTGGCACATCTTTACATCTTACCTGTAGGAATATCTTTCCTGTGGTAAGTTAGAGACCTTAATGTCTTTTGCATGATTATTAAGTAGCTAAAACTTAGTGTTTTGTTTTTGTTTTCTGTTTGTTTTTTTCTAAGCAGCATATTGAAGGAGTAATTTAGAAATCTAATATCAAACATAAAGACTATAGTGCATTAGAGATATTCCTTATGAACTTTATGCTAAGGTTGGGTCAATTACAGCTTTAAC